TACCTTTAGGATAAAGAAAAGCCCGTCAATCATCTTTAAGGCATCCCACATATGAAATATGAAGCCAATCAGTGTCTCTTTTTACACAAATCGGTTTAATTGATTCACTATTTGTCTCCCGCCTCAGTGATTAAGCCCATTAAAGCTATTTTAATTGGACAACCTCATTCAAGTGATTGATATTTAGAGAGAGCAAAGGACAGCTCCTTAGGGGTTAGGCTGTACTGGAGTTGGCAACAAAAAAAAGAAACTTGCAATTAATTAAAAAAAATATCTGCTCAACTTGGTCAGAGCAAGGGGAGTAAAAAAAGGGCCATTAGTGAAGCCAATCATGAATTGAACAATCAATACTTTGAAAAGCAATTAAGAGATTCTCCCAAAGTAATTACTTTTTAATATTCCAGCCATTGTTTTTTTCTTTTTATTGTTAATGCCTTTTGGTTACTGCTCAAAACCTCTTTTTCAATTTGGACTAAATGAGCTCTGATCTCTTTTTGCAAAACACATCAAACTGGATCATGTTAGTGGATATCATCTTTCAGGGTGGTAAATGTGGTCTTTCCATTTTGCAGTAGCTCGCATTAAGTGGCGGTAGCATCAGTATGCTCAGTGTGTTGAAATGTTGAAAACAGCCCCGGGCCATAGATTCAGTCTACCTCACTCTTGCTCTCATGCCTGTCGGTGAGGCCTCTGGCGTTTCTATTGGAGTGATCCTCAAAGGTACCCGGTGCGTCCGTGCATTCATGCAGCCACATGTTAGCGACAATCAAACCCATTACTCTTTTGCTGGGTGCGTCTACGCCGCACGGCTATCTCTACACATTTCATTTTTTTATTTTTATAAAATGCCTAGCCGCTGTCATCTATCACAAAAGATATCAGAAGATTAGCTGCTGGAGCGCAAAGTTATTTATAGGCCACGTGCAGCAAGTTAGCTTACGGCACATTTATTTTTAACTATGATTTTATTGGTCCTATTTTTCCCCTACTGCAAACAACAAGTTCAACAAACCTCGAACCTTCTCCCGTGCCGCAGACATAAGATGCACAGTACGAGATTAATAAATATAAGAAAAGAAGTCACATGAACGACTCAATATAGTAAAAAGTAATTAATTATTTTAATCAAAAGAATCAGATGCCGCTGCTACTGACATGTATTCTAGCAGTTATTAACATGGCCACCAGAACAAACAGGGGCTAAATAATAGTAGTCAGTATACTAACACGAACATAGGGATCATTTGCAACGTTTTTTACAGTTAGCGGGATAGCACGATCGCCATCTGAGTTTAGCGTTTTAGCCGCTAGCCTGTAAATTAGCCCTATAAATGAAGTGTATGGCAAAACCATTAGCTTTGCAGCTATTTGGTCAGGTATTTGAACAAGTAGAGATTATGCTATGACGACAAGGCCATAAAAATGACAAAGTCAGACTACTTCATCCCCTGGACGATCCTGAACATTTTTCTGGAATACAATGGCAATCCATCTAGCAGATGTTGAGATATTTCCTCCTGGATCCAAGTGGAGGGTCGGCCGAGTGTGACCATGAATGTGTTCCTCTGTCAAAAGAGTAATGCAACGCATGGAGTTCTCAGCGCCCTCGAGACATTAAATTAATTTTAATCTGGTGTAGAAAAGCTCATGTGTCACAGAAGGAGAAGGAATGCCAGGTGGTGATAGTGATGCACTGGAATGTAAGGAACGAAGATCTTCAACCGTATTTGTGGGGGAGGCTGCTTTTGCCTTTAAAATGCACAGTGTGGCTGTAACACTTGGTACATATAAATGGTGTCTTCAGATGTTCCGCCTTTAGTGCGGGCATAGCCCGAGCTTCTCCCCAGGAGGATACACAAATTGCATAAAGTGAGGGAGAAACGGCAGGAGTGTGTGTGTGTGTTTGGGGGGGGATGGGTGGCGGGGTGTAAAGTCCTACTTGAGTTAGTGGATTAAGGAGGATGAGTAAAGAGAAGCCATCTCATGATTCCTCATGTATATTTCACGACACGATTCTCCTGTAAATAATCATATTATTTACCACCACAACACAACACAACCATCCCGGCTGCCTGGTGTTTCTGCTCCAGAGAGCTTATAATATTTTAACTGCACATCCATAACCTCTTAAGCTAGGTTAAAAGCTCTCCGAAGCATTGGATATCAATCGCTCTCTGGTTTGTTTTTAGATGTTTATATTTCCGATATCCGTCTTCATCTGCTCACTTTTATTCCTTCCTCCGGTCTCGATTTCTTCTCATCGATTTCTTGCTTCTTGTTCGTCCAGCCCTCTCGCTCTTTCTCCACGGCTCATCAAGCCTCCTCGCGTCTTTCCCTTGGTCCGTTACGTAAGCTTCTATCTCCTGTGCGCTCATCTTTTTCTATTGCCATGGCAATCGGCAATAGAAATCTCCAAACTGCAATTAATCTCGGGCATTGATCCATCGCTCACAAATGGGGCAATTTAAGCTGACATATCGCAGGTTGTTTTATCTTCATTTCTGTACGGTGAATGCTCCAGCTGCTCGCTGCTTTCAGTGTCATTTTTGCATTTTGTATGGCCGTGAGCGCTGTAAGAGGACGGGTATGTGTTAGTGCTTTGATGCGTCTGTTCGTTTGGATCTTTGCCGAAAACACTTTATGTTTCCCCACTGCTCTTCTACTTTCCGCTCCCTCCCAACATCAATACCGGTCAAAGGGCTGCGTGCGGAGCGAGCTTTCGGGGTCTTTGCTCTGAGCTAATCTCCCTCTGTGTTCAAAAGCTGAAGGCCCACTGACTCAATCCTGCTGACTCTCGCTCTGCTGTCTCCCAGCAGCCTGTTACCATGGTTACCTCGGCTCAGAGGCAGGCCAATGCAGCAGCAGCCTAATGTATGATGCGACCTCCTTCACTAAACACCAGTGGTTTTGTTGTGGCTGTCATGAGCCACCTCCCTGACGCCCTCTGCTCTCTTTATTCCAAGGCCCAGGTCCTCTCACTGGGGACGGCACGGTGGCCGATGTGATTTAGGCTTTGAACACAGCAAGTTTCTGTGTGTGCGCGTGTGTGTGTGTTGGTGTGAATTGGAAATGTTCTGAAAGAGCCACATGCACACACGACAGAAACGGCCAAGAGTTTAGTTCCACTCAACTTCATGGAACAAAATAAGACCCGTGTTACTGGCTGTTAGTCAGCGCTCTGGATGTGCTTCGAATTCAAGCCAGCAGGAAGAAGATAATGACCTGCTGGAAGTGTCCTTGGAGGAACCTTTCAAGAAAATGAGGGCGGTTGGCAAGACGAATAGGCAAGAGAGAGGGAGAGAGAGAGAGAGAAAGAGAGAGAGAGAGAGAGAGAGAGAGATTGGTGGTTGAAATGTAAGAAATGCTAAATGTCCTGTAAGTGGATAGGATAAAAACACATACAAAGGCATTTGATAATGCAAGAGTTGAATGCTATGACACCATTTGTGCTAATAGTAAAAGTAAGCCAAGGTATCTCCGGTTTGCACTGTTATCAGAAAAAGTACAGACAACTGTGATTGCACCCTCAGAAATCTTCTCAGGATTTTCGTCTATACATTTCTAAGCGAATTGACGTTATTTTTTTTAAGTAATGACATCCTCGGGGAGTCGCACTGAATATGTGTATATCATTTTTGTCATCCCTTCGTAAAGCAGTTTGATTTTTGATGCAACATTAAGCAATGGGAGATCACATCGCTAGATTATTTAAATTGTTTTTCTCTCAAAACTGTTGTGAGGGGACAAACTAAGCTTGTACCCACCACCTCTAAATTCATTCATCATCATTCATTTTGCTGAAGACAATAGTTGTTTTGTCAAGAACTCTCACTCCATCTGTGCTGGTGGCGCGTTGAAATGGTGGGATCAAGTTTTCAGAGAAAATATTTTATTAGGGGAAAGGACACAGTACTTTTGGGCTTGTAGTTTGCTTTTTCCTCGAGAAGGGAAGGGAAGGGAAGGTTAGAGGGACAAGGTTTAGGCGCTACCGCTGGATATTTAATGTAATGGGCAAAAAAGATTAGCGTGTGCTTTTTATTTTTCTCCAATATACATATAGATATACATGTAACAGGGTTATTTATGGTGGTGTGTCATATATTTCCCCACTAAGTGAAGCTCGAGTAACGATTGTGAAAAAAAGACATCATTCAGGACACGCTGTGCAGAAAAGTGTACTCCGCAATTGTCTCGCTACAATAGTCTTTGTATTGTTATAAGAGGGTAAATCAAATGAATGCGATGGCACTTTGTGCTTTCCCATATTTAGATAATGAGGCCATGAGTTATTTTAAGGCAAAGTGGGAAGGATGTGGGGGGCAAAGCGAGGAGGGGGAAAAAAGGGTGAAGCTTGCAGAAAGAGAGAGAGAGAGAAAGAGAGACAAAAAAAATTGTCTCCCTCTCGCTCGAGGCCCATTGTCATCCCGAACAGATTCATGTAATATTAACATGTCAGAGCAGAGGAGCAGAGCCTATCACGCCTGTTAGGCCTTCCTCCCAGCACCGGGAGGAGAGGAACATGGCACCCACTGGCCTGAATCCACGGCCATGTGGGCCTCGGGCCTCCCAACGGGGGCCGCGTCTCATTGGGTCCGTGTCTCGCTGGGTCTGTGTCACCAATGCAACAGTTAGGCTTTTTTCTGTCATCCTCGAGGTGCACTGGGAGTTGTCATTGCCATGGTAATAAAATCATAGAAAAAAAAGAAGAATATAATATCGAGAGTTAGCAAATGGATGCAGTGTTTTTGTGTGATTTGTGTGAAGTTGCTCATCAGGTATCTCATTTGAGTCCAGCCCCATTGGTAGGACGAGAAAAAGACTCATCAAATCCACTCACCCGATACAACAGAACACTGTTGTTCATTTCCCAGCTCAGCTAGTCACACAGTCATCTCCAGTGTGGTTTTTAAATGAATCCGTCCCGTGTGCATCAAACAAGGCTTGTTCTGTTTCTGTGCTGCAAAAAAAGAAAAAACCCCCACAAAGAACAAAGCCAAAATCAATGAAGGGGGCATAGTGGATAAAGGCAAAGTAAGGCCTCTCGGCTGTGATTAAAATAAACTATTGTCCGTGGAGCAATTACTGCTGAGCCATGAAAAGGTGACGGATAAACTACAGGGAAATTATCTCGGCTCTCTGATCCCAAACGGCAGATTTCGGCCGCGTGGTCACATCGCTGTCTCCTCTCCGGGAGCACGTTGAACAGGAAGCCCTGATCAAAGACGGAACAATCCCGTCATTATCTCAGCCATTCAGCTGCGCCAGGTGAGAGCTGACCTCCGGGTCGTCTTCCTACTTAATTACACCGCATGCCGCCATTTGTGAAGCCTAATGACGTAATCCCCCTTCGGCTGTCAGCCCTTGAGACATGAAGGCAAACTCGTATCGATCAGTGGGATGCTTGAAAAAGCTATTAGGATTAAGTCTTCTGTGACTTTTTGAAATGTTCTAGACCAAAAACAAATAGGGTGGCCTGTTTTTTTAAATGTCACAGAACATACAAGGCAAATTGAAAACCTCTTGTATTTCAAACTGCTCAGTGAAGTAAGACTTTCTATTTGCTTTAAAAACATTTGTTTTTGATTAAAGGATTGTTTATTTTTTCTCTATTGAACAATATTTACAGCAAAAGAAAAAGAAATACCTCGCAGCTGTAGTTTCAACCAATAACCTCTTTAGTGCTGAAGTGTGAGAAAGAGAAATCTGTAGAGACGAAGCACAACTTTGTCTTTGCTTCTTTCCTTTTATTCAAGGAGTAATAAAACCACATTTAGTGTGAACGTGTGAAAAGTAATGCAGATCACACAAAGAACTCCAACCTCAGAACACGCTAACTGGGTTTAGTCCAATCAGAACACGGCTTATTTGTAGACAGCCTGCCAGATGTTAATGTTTTACAACCCATGTGTTGTCATTATACATATTTTCTATGTAGCGGCAGATCCCAACAGAAGTCATTTAAGGTTACCTTTTGAAGAACAGCTCTGTGCCTTGCTCTTTTATCAAACAAACCAAATTCCATTATGTTCTTTCGTTATTCTGACGGCATGTCATTTCTGTCTGTACATGGTCGCGCTTTGAGAATCCTGCACTGTTCTCTGCGTCGCACACATGGCGGAGTTCCCCCCCCGATCCGCAGACACACACACAGAAACACGTATGTGCGCACACAGAAGTAAGAACACTCACACCACCCCCCCCCCCCCAAAAAAAGCTGTAAAACTAGGGGAGACAGTGCAAAATCACTGTCATTGTTGTCAGCATCAGTAAGCAGCTGGTAAGAAAAAAGCCTTTTATGTTACCTGCCAAACACCACAAAGCACTGCAGCTGTCGCCTATTCATCAGTTAAAAAGCAGGTTATGTCCTCATAACTTGGTGGAAACCAAAGCAGAGCTCAAAGTGGAGCGCATTTTGAATTACATTACATTTACCACTGGGCCAGAGACTCACACGTCCAAATGAGAGCCAACGCTTCTTGGTATTTGTGCAACCTTCAAATCAGCCTGTGCTTGCTAATTTGGTTTTTCAGCTTGTTTTGCTGGACGTTTGGCTTTGGAAGGAAATAACATTTCAACCTCTGATAGCAAGAGCTGTACTACGGTAAGTGCTCATTTATTTTGGAATACGGATATTAAACCCGAGGAACATTTCAGAAAACCGACAGACTTTGATTGCATTGATTTCTAAAAGTTAGTGCAGTGCTTCCCAAACTTTTTCTGTCGGGCCCCACTTCATTCAACCAAAATGTAACAAAATGGTCCATGCTGAATTATTAATTATCATTGAAATAACAACATTTTAAGGGATACTATTAACCGTTAATAGTATCCCTCCACTGGTGGAAATAGTCCTTTCTTGTTTACCACAAAATGCCTATATTTTCATTGGAATTGGACAGTTTACCCCCACTCCAGCCTTTTTCAGTCTTTTTCTTTTTTTTAACTGATAACTTAAAGATCCAAGTTCAATTAACACAAATATATCTCAAAGAAGTCAACGCAAAGCATACAAACTAAGTTTTGACTTGAGTTCAAATCTAAAACTTCAGAGCTCTTGAAGAAGTAAGTGGACATAACTAAACAGGGCTGTGTTTTACAGTGCGGTTCGATCCGCGTTCTCTCCACACTGCTCCTTAACATGCAGAGAATAGTTTCCCCATGTGGGATTAATAAAGGATTATAAATAAAAGAATAATATACAATTTTTAAAAAGCCCCTCGCGCCCCACCTGTTATACCTCTGCGCCCCACCAGAGGGTCGCGCCCCACAGTTTGAGAACCACTGATCTAGTGGAACCACAAGTATCTGAAAGAAAGCGAGTAGAGAAACTCCGCGGTCATGCAGTCAGTGCTCACCGCTGCTCTCTGCGATAATTAGCGAGCGCCTTAACAGGCCTCCTGACCAAATCCATTAGCCTATTTCTCGCTCTCAGACATGCATTAGTGAAAACCAAAGTGAGGCATTACCTCATCTTGAAGTGACGTTATCGTGAGCCTCTCAGACATTCTTTATGAAGGAAAGAAAAAGGTGAGGAACGACGATGCTGTGTCCCGGGAAATGCTCACAGCCGAGGGCTAAAGCACTGCTAATGAATTACTTAAGTAGATGTCAAATGAATAAAAATGAGTAGCCCAATCAGCCGGCCTCGTGTCCACAGAGCAGACAGCGATAGCATCGCGGCGCGGATGCACTGTGGCGACGGCGGATGCACTGTGGCTCCTGGCCACGAGATGAGGTGATGTTGTGTGGAAAATAATAATCAAACGAGTGCAGTTTGCTGTGAAAAGATAAATCACAGCTGTTTGATACATTAGTGCCTATAGTCTCTATAGCTATTTCTCCCACTCTCCGCCAACCCCACTCTCCATGTATTTTGGCCTGCATTCAGAAGCACAGAGGGCGCCATGACAACAGCTTTATTAATCACATCAATCATCGGTAACACCACGGCGACCAAAGGGAGCTCTAATCGCTTCTCGAGAGCCGACAGTATCTTTTGTGAGGGCTCGTTCCAGTCCGCATTAACTTGACGCCTGTGTTTGTGTGCGTTTCCGTGGGTGTGTGTTGGGGTGGATGGTAGGAAATCTGATTACCTGTCAGGATATTGTTTGTGTGATCCGAGGGCACCGGGGAAAAGAAAGTCCTTGAACTTGTTTGTAACATGTTTCCCTCAAAACTTTGTTACGTCGTGTTCTGTTGCATTAATATCTCTAAACGGGCTGTATGTTCTCCCTTGAGGAATCTCCTGTCTCTCCCCGTATGGATTTTTGTAAACAATACTATTTTATACAATTTTAATTTGTATTAGTTTCCTACTAACACCCCTACTAGCACTCAGCAAAGTGATTGCAGAGGAAATGCAGCAACATCACTAAAATAGCTCCAATAGGGCAACAAACACAAGTTAGAAAAAACAAACATCCAGCTTCTAGTGAGGAAAAAAACATATCATTGACCTACTTGTCAGAGTCTTCTTATGCAATTAGAGTCAGTTACTTCTCTGGTAGCTATTTTGGCTTAAAAGTATTTCTTGTAAACCTTCGGCGCCTCACTGCTTTTTACCCCTCATTGGAAAATGACAACAAACCTGATCGGTTAGAATTTCAACTATTTGACCAGATTAGCAATCAGGTCTGAGATCTGATGCACTTAAAAAATGATGACAAGCAGACGTACCACAGGACAGAAAGTATTCAGACGTGCTACTTTTGATTGATTTGTTTACAGCGTTTCTATCCTGGACAGTATTTGTGGTTCCTTAGTGGAGAATCAGCCGTCTCCAGCAGGTCTCCGCATTGCTTTGTCATTCACTGTCATCCTTTATCGGTGTCATCAATCAAACTGTTATTTTCACAAAATATCTCCACACAACACCTTCTCCGCCTTTCACTTTTTTTGTGACATTCTCCCCCGTCTCTCCGCGCCTCAACGCTTCGGCTTGAACACAAGCCAGTCCGAGCACACCTGGCGTTCACGGCGCTCCCCCAGACCCCATTTCACAGCAACAACGAACGTTTGCACGATAATATCCGTTTGTGGCGCCGTGATTCCCCGGCAATCGTACAATGCCTCATTAATTAACCATAACATGAAAGGCAGCCCTCAAATCACGCACAGTTTCAGATGAACAGGCAGATGGTTCATGATTTGTTAATGGAGAGGATTACTCGCCGCTTTGACAGATCAATGGCAGTGAGGAGGTGAAATTCCGTCTGCTCAGCGCGCGCGCCCACCGTTTTCCAAATGGGGGCTGTTTGTCAGAATGCCACGCTGCTCGGGTGGCGTGTATACAGAAAAAAAGGAAAGGCTTGCTTTGAAGCCAAGAGGGTTCGCCTCCCGTGCATGATGAAGAAGATATTGCTTTGTCACATTAAAGCCCAATGGAATCCACCTCGGTGAGAATTACTGCACAAATAAACTGTTGTTCCAGTAATCGGTGGATGGCTTTTTTTTTCTCTCTCTCTGCTCAAAGACCCAGAATTCTGCCGGCTGGCGGAGAGGCTGAGGGAAAGCCAAGGCTGCAGGCAGGGCTCCATCAGATAGCTACAAGCTAGTGTTGGCCGGGTAACTGGCACAGTCTCCACACGTGTTTCTTTGACTCATTTCTTTTTTGCCCCATGTCCTTGAGATAGGCTACACTAAACTACCCGTGCAGGCACACACACACACACACACACACACACACACACACACACACACACACACACGCACGCACACACACTTTTTCCAGTTTGCTTTGAGTGTTGAGACGATTAAGTGCAAAAAGAATGATTTCCTTGTTGACACTGTGGAGTCCTTCCGCTTTACATCAGGACCTGGTAGCTGAACATCAGCTCCATCGCCAAGAAGGCTTAGCAGAGGATGTTCTTCCTGAGGCAGCTGAATATATTAAACCTGCCGAAGACAATGACGATGCACTTCTACACGGCCATCATCAAGTCCATCCTCGGCTCCTCCTTCACCGCCTGGTACACTGCAGCCACAGCCCAATGTCTAATTGTCTTATTGTCCAATGTTATGCATTACCCGCCATGTCGAATTCCTTGTATGTCCATCATACTTTGGCGATAAATGTTTCTGATTCCTGACTTGTTTGCCTACATGTTGCTTCTGTGGCTACATTGACAGCAAAGAGGCCGAACACAAACAGAGGCTTCCATGCAGTAGCGGTTTGCATATGGAGGACACCACAAGAAACGACAGGAAATGTAAAGCCTCACAAGCAGTGATGCACTGCTAATGTATCGGACAGTGATAATAGATATGAACCATAGTTGAAAACTGTTTAATGTGATCAAATGTATTTTTGGCTGGAGGACCCTGTAAATCATTTTATCCTTGCAGAGCTGCTAGCATGGCTCCAGTCACAAACAAACAGTAACAAGATACCGCGAGCGAATCACATGATCTCTGTGGTTCGGGTTATGTTATTGTTTTGCCTGCTTGCCTCACTGCTCGTGGATCTCATGAAGTCTGATCTCTACCCGCACCTCGTTTCTTCGGTGCAGTACACACTCTTGTCTCTCTAACATCACACAATGACACACAAACACCTCCTTTTATCAGTGCCGCGTTGTATAGTACACAGAGTGAAAGCAGTTCTCCTCTCATTTCTGTCATGTACATACGTCATTACACCGTAAATGACCATGTGCAAGATTTGTTGGGTGCTAAAATAGCCTGACATACAAAAAAACCCAGTTATTTTTGCTGCCGATAAGGCAAGTGGTAGACATGTCGCATCTCCTTTGTCTGAAATGCACGTTTCCCTGCATTGGTGATGAAATTTCTTCTTTTCTTTTTCTCTTCTGATTCTGACAGCAGCCATATCTCCTTCCCTTGATTCAACACGTCCCCGTCCCTTCTCCCGCTTGCACGGGCAAACATGCGCTATTGCACGGCACCCTGCAGCTCACACAGCTTCCTTAATAGAGGTCAGCGGGCCTCTTCAGACTCCGGCAGGGCCGTCACCCACCTGATACCGTCCTCAAAGGCGTCCCACTTCACATCATCCCATCGGGTTAATTTGAGCCACCGCCACGGAGGAAGTCCTCAACTTGACGCTAATAAGCGAAGACACTGCGAAATGAATGAGAACCTTTTTTTTTTAGTTTAGCCATCACTTTGCATTTCTCGCTTGTGGGAATGTTGAGTGAGGATCCACACTGCGGCCTCAAAATGAATATTCTAAAGTGGATTTTATAAGATTGATGAACGTTTAAAAAATGGAGGGACATTTGAAATTAGGAGTGGTACCCATCTGTACATGGCGCTGACAGTAAAAGTACTACATATGTGCTCTAAAACCTTTTTTTAAATGGTTGAGATAAACATATTGCCATAAAAACATTGCTGCTAGTAGCTCCCTTTTCCTCAGCGCAGTGTTCTCAATAGATTGTACACCATCTTTCCGACAGAGCTTCTTGTAGCCAGTAGTGTACAGCGTTAAACCAACTCTTAGTACTTTATAGGAACCCTGACAGCATCCATTTCCACACGCGTCAGTGTAATCAGATGATCTTAATCCATTCGTAGTGGTTGGGATGTGACAGAATGGCTTTGTTCCCCTCATTACTGTAATGCCGATGGAAACGGAGATTTGGGTAGTAATGAGTTGGATTAACAGTCTGTCACTACTACTAAATTGTTAATTGAGGATTATCCTTTTCAGCGGTTGGAGTTGTATGTATAGAGACGCATTTTTTTTCCATTCTGACCTGATTTTACAAAGAGCTCACAGCAAGAATCGTGCTTAGAAGGTTTCTGGGACAGAGATTTGAAAGCTATTAGCGCACGCTCTTACCTTTTCCTTACATCGCATCACCTGCGGGCGGTCATGGTGGGAGGGGGTGGGGGGGGAGGGGTTGGCTGTGTTTTGATATAGTTGAGGCGACATCTCCCGGTTCACCTTCTCTTGTGTCCAAGAGATGCAAGCTCAGGCAGGGGAGGGACATTTCTGTGCTCGTTTGTATCTCCGCGTGGCTCCCGGAAGGAAAGTGACTTTATGGTAATGGTAAATGGCCTGTACTTGTATAGCGCTTTTCTAGTCTTCGACCACTCAAAGCGCTTTAACACTACATGACATCATTCACCCATTCATACACGGATGACAGGAGAACCATACACAGTGACACCTGCCCATCAGTAACTAACATTCACACACTGTAGTCGCAGCTACAGGAGCCATGTTGGGTTAAGTGTCTTGCCCAAGGACACATCGACATGCAGGTTAGTAGAGCCTGGGATCGAACCAACAACCCTCTGATTGGAGGACGATCGTGCTTCCCACTCACCCACAGTCACCCACTTTAGCAGACTACACTACACAATATTTTTAGTCCTATTCTTTTTCTAAGCGTGGAGGCAAATTCCACCGAGAGAAAAAGACATCGGGGCGCTTAAATTTTCACCGATGTCGTTGTAGGATTGGTGGGGGTCGCTCCGTGCGGAATACGGAGCCCAGCGCACTTGCCTCATCTGGGGATTGGACAGATGAGAAGAGAAAGGAAATGTATTAGCTAAACAAATCAGTAGTGCATTTTAGTCTCCAGGAGGAATCCTGGAAGAAGCGTAAATACTCAGAGGCAGTAAGCAGGAGTCCCCGGCCAACTCCAAAGCACTAGTAAACACACACACAGAAACCGCTAGATGTTCATCCGTTGACAGTGGCTATCTGTGGAAGCTGCTTGCACGGTAAATCGGATGAAGTGGAGTGTGTGCGTATGTGAAATGGGGGGTGATCTGTTATTCTAGCGATGTGGGGGGATGTTATTATCGGGATGAGGAGACGACTTACGTGTCCTAGTTCAGTCTCCTCCGAACTTCTTTTCATATGATGAGGGGGAAATGGTCGGGCTGACAACGAAATTAAAGCCACAAAGTCTCTGTGATTGCTAATTAGATTGAATTGATGGTTTGATGGTCGCGACAGTTATGTCTCCGAGTTATGATACTGTTGGGAAAACTGCAAATAATATCATGTCATGATTAAACGGGAGTCACGTCTGTATTGTTTATGTTGATGACATGGAGGACCACATAGTGGTCAGATGTCTCCAGACAATGACAGGAGGTCTGGAACACTCGAACCTCTGTACGTGCGCGACCCTCCCCATGTTTATGAGACCATATCTCAAGCAAAAATGGTGACTCCAGAAAGAAGTATGTATGTGTGTCACCTCTGTCTCCTGTTTGCAAACACTAAAAGTCCACGGCATGACATCCACCTTTTGTTTCTTACAGATTGATAAATGATCAAACTTGGGACCGGTGAGCCATTTTGAATATAGTCTCAAGACTTTGCTCTTTGTGCATTCAAATGTAATGCCCAGTGTGTGTTGAAGCAGCCTGCAGACTGCATGGTGCTGTGATAGCTGTGTCTGCCGCCTCAGGCCAACAGTAAAGCACAAGCACTACAGCATTCACGCAAGATAAGGAGCGATTGAGTGTCAAACACGATCCGTGTGGGCTGACGAACTGCACTCTAAAAATTTCACCGTGAATTAACTGTATTTCCACGACTCCAGGCCCCGACCCCGGTTCCGGCCCCAGGACTCCAGGCCCTGCCAGTCCCGGCTCCACGACTCCAGGCCCCGGCTCCGACCCCGCCAGTCCCGGCTCCACGACTCCAGGCCCCGGCCCCGACCCCGTCAGTCCCGGCTCCATGACTCCAGGCCCCGGCCCCGACCCCGCCAGTCCCGGCTCCACGACTCCAGGCCCCGACCCCGGTTCTGGCCCCAGGACTCCAGGCCCCGACCCCGGCTCCATGACGCCAGGCCCCGGCCCCCGACCCCGCCGGTTCCGGCCCCAACGCTCCTCCCTCCCGCCCCTTGTCTGTTCCTTGTCAGATTAGGGCCACCTGGAATTTGGCCCTTGAGAGGGAGTGCTGTCACGGTTTGGGTTCATGTCTGGGTTTATTTTGTAGTTTCTTTCCTCTGTTCTCCCTGGATCACGTCACTTCCTGCCTTGTCCTGTCATCCCCTGTGAGTGTCTGTCGTGTCATGATTGTTTCCAGCTGTTTCCAATCACCTGCACCTCCCTTGTGTATTTAAGCCATGTGTGTCTGTTGTTACTTGTGGCGTCATTACTAAATGTTGGTTGTCCGAAGCGGATGTCATGCCCATGATCTTGTCGTAGTTTTCTGACTACATTTTTGGCTTTTTTTGTTTCTGGAAAGAACTCTGCGTCTGAGTCCTACCTTCCCTCTCCCCTCGCACGGACACCGCCCTGATAAAATTTTGTCAAACCATGGGCGTTTTGGATAAAAATGACAGCTGCATGTATAGTAATGTCCTGTAAGTCAAAGTCATCATCGTATCTCATGAGATACTATCTCATTATGATGACTTACAGGACCTGTTTTTCAGTGGCTGACATGGGCTTCCGTACATTAACCTACAAAAGATGTAGATGGATTGTGATTCACTGCACTTGTATGTGTATTTCCACCACTTCATAAAATATATGTAACATGCAGTTGAATTACGGTAGTTGCTATTATTGTAAATTGACAGCTTTAACTGTTTATTCATGACATTGGTTGTTAATTTACAAGCAAGGGATGGAAATTTAACTGTATGTTACAGTTATTATGACATACTGTAAGATACCGTTAGAAATGCACCGTAAATTTACAGCAATTTGTTACAGTGTGTGTAGGGACGACTTTCACTTTACCTCTTTTGATCGTTGGGTTGTCTGGGACATGATGATAGTGTTAACCCAGACTGTGAGGTTATTTGTTGCAGGGCAACAACAGTGTGTTAAGGTTAGGGAACGTGTGTGAAGAAAACTTTGGGGTTGGCCGGATAAAGGTTATAGTTAGTTATAGTTATAGTTACAATTCTGATAATGAAACACTTGGTTAAAGTTGGGTAACGGCAATGCTGATGATTCAAGTTGTGTTTCTCTGACAGGACGCTGGCTTATGGCGTGATGTGATTCCTACGACTTCTGAGCTGGAGAGTTCAATTATCATTGCATGTCTGCTGATACAGAACTCTGGTACAGTGCCTTTTTATAAACATGGCAGCCTTAGCAGCTCATACAGAATGTCTCTCACCGCTCACTGTGTCAACCTTTTTTTTTCGTACCTGACCTCTTATTCTGTGTTTCATTGTGATTAACACAATGCACAGTTTTCCGTGGCATGCCGTCCAACTAGCTACCAAGTGCATTTCTGTCAAGAATTGCACCATTGTGAGTGGATGTAATTGATGGATTGAGACGTGCTGACAAGAGTCTCCAGTGTCTCCAGAGTAGATAAATACTATGTTCCTTCGCTGAGTGTTTTGTGGTCACGTTACAGTGGGTCAGTGCTCTTTTCACAAGGAGCTGAGGCTAAGTGTCCACATTTAGACAGAGGTAAAGGAAGCAGAGTTCCTAAAGATGTTTGGGGGAAAAGCTCCAACAGCGGTATAATTGTGTTGTTTTGGTAGATTTCTCTGCAAGGCCTCTGCATAAATATTCAGTTTTACATAGTTTCCCATTAATTTTCCAGAATGTGGCGGCCCACCCCAGTTTCATAATGAATGCACATTGGCCACCCTCCCGACCTGATATCAACCCTGTTTTGTTTACTTTGCTTTGTGGGCGTGAGTTTTTTGAAGTTGAATTTATTTCTATACAAACAATATGATTCATTAGTTTACTGGAGCTGTGTAAACTGGGGGGTAGATCCTAGGATCTAGGATCTACATTTTTCTCTCAAAATGCACGAGACTGATGCATTTCATAAAATGTAAAACATTTTCCCTGCTCTCCTGGGTGGTCTGAGGTTTCACAAAGCACTGTGGGAAATACTGGAGTTGTATAGTGAATGAGTTCCAAACAAGGTTCTTCATTATGCCTCATGTTGACGTTTTTGTTGAACTGAAACCAATTGTTGTTTATATGATAATTTGCGTTTAGGAGATATGTTAACAGGTTTTCCTTTCTTTCCATCTGACCCTATAGAGGTTCTACCTGAACAAGTAATCTGGGGTGCATTTGTCTCAAAATTAAAACACATCATTTATGCATGAAAGGCCTTTTCTTTGAGAGAAACCATATTACTTTGCCTGTGCTGCTGCTGGCCATGATTTGTTAGAAGCGTCTCAGCAGTCCTGTACTCTATGTCAATATAATAACTCTCATCTGGTCTCAGGTCAGCTCTCCTTATAACTAAACTCACATAATCTATGTGCCACTGACAAACCACACCATAGAAAAATGCTCTGCACTTGTGTAATTACCCGGGTTTTCTTTTTCCAATGTTCCTCTGTCCGTCTCAAGAGGTTTACCTCTGTTGCAAAAGGAACAATTAATTTTGGGTCACTGCTTCGGGGCATTTGGAAATTAAAAATGTCTCTCTTGGATTATTCATTCTAAAATAAAACAGCTTGATTACTCCCTCAAGAATTCCCCCCTCTACTCATTTCCCTCACCTCTGGTAGGCTCGATAATGGATGGCCAACCACTTGATAATTTTGGGGGGGATTAGGATTCTCTTTTCTTCAAACTTAAAGTCTTTTCTTTTCTACAACAGATTCTGCCACACTAACCCATAGTCAGTTAGATCAGAGAGACTGAGATTACATTACATTACATTACATTACATGTCATTTAGCGGTGTTAGGGATTTAAGCCAGAAGTGCACCCCTAGTCAGGAAATTAGAGTACGTGTAATAATGTTTAGTGTTAGAATTATAGTTTGTGTGATGTTAGATATTAGTTATTACATTAACATGTTAGATGAAGTGAATGCAATTTCAATCAAACACAATTCATAGTCATTTAAATCATATAAACACTGTACACATTAACATTCTGTCACAATGTGATGTTAAAACCTGGGGACGGATGCCAATTGCCGTTCTTTATGGATTTCTCCCAATTTTATCCCCAAAGAGGGTTTTTTGGGAGTTTTTTTCTCCTGTCAGGTAATAAATGAACAACTTAATGTAAGGCAGCCGACTGAGGCAAATGTCTTGAGAATTGGACCACATGAACTGTCTTAGATCTTAGGATGAAGTGTGATGAACGGTGATCATTAATGATGGGTTGTTGTAATGAAAGTGTACTAGTTATAAGATGAAGACTTAAACGATGTATGCTTTGTTAAATTCACTCATTGGGGCATAAAGCCACTGTATCTACATTGAGTGCATTGGAATGTGAGGGACAGCTAGGACAGAGAGGTTTCAGGTTACAGCTGCAGCATCACACCTCGACGTGAAGGGGACAATGGAGGAGGTGACCCTTTGGAGAAGAGGCCAATGACATTCAAATGCACCAAGGAAGACACACCTCAAGAGGTTTCAAAGAGCCATGGCGGGGGAAAAGACTGTTAGAACTTCTCCTGCAGCCGCGTTGATAAGTCACTTCAGACTTGCTCAGAGGATTCTCTATTTCGCGAAATATTCCACTGTTCGCTTAGTATTTCACTTTGTAATTGTAATCCCTATTACGTTGTTCAGTCATTAAATACTTTTTGATTTTTGAATTTAAACGAATTGACTCATTCGTGTCCTCGTTTCCGGCCGGGACGAGAACCAGGAGTGAGGCCTCCCTCGAGAGCTTCCGAAACCTTAACAGCGGACGCTTTTATCCAAAGCGACGTACAATAAGTGCATTCAACCATAGGGTACAAACTCAGGAGAACAAGAAACAAGAAAGTGAGATGGTTGTTGAAGATGGAGAGCGCGTTTTTCATTGAAAGTAAAACAAACCGAGACGCGACATACAGTGGAGAACTGTGCAGAGGAATTCATCCACGTGTCAAACAGAAGGGGGGGGTGAGTGGCAAACGGACAATTTAGAGCACCGCTATGCTACTTCCATCTCATCATTTACCCCACGGCACTCAGTCTGCAGAGGACCACCAGTGTCCCCAAAAGACAGTGGTTTGAACAATGTCATGGCTAAATGTGGGGAGTGTTGGCACAACCGTCAAATGATGGAGAGTTGAGAGCAAAGTACACGAGGACAGCAGGAAGAGTCGCTATTTCAACATGTTGCACCTGGTGGAATTCTGCCTCCAAGGTGATCAACTTTCCGTAGTTTTGAGTTTCAAATTCAAATAAGCAACAGCGTCTAAAATAGACGCTTTTTTAAAGTTATTTTTCGATAAACATTTTGAATCGCGATAAATATTAATGAATTTAAAAATGTGGGATTGGTTATTTGTTTTTTAATGTATTGACAGCCTTACATATTATGTGTCACATTTACCAAATACTCCTTCCACATGTATGAAAAAAGAGCCACAGTAACACCTCCAAAAAGATTTAAGGCATAAAGAAATGTAATCTTGAAATATATGAACCAAGTAGCATTGAAAATATATAACATTGTAGGATTTTGCACCACTTGTGTCAGGGATGGGTGGAGGAGGCAGGACTTTTCAAAAAACAAAAGACTTTAATAGTCACAAGGCAAAAGCAAAAGGCCAAGGGGCAAAAACACACAGGAACCAGGGGAAAAACAGCAGGCAGGAAACATTATGCACATCCACGACAATAGACAATGACGCGACCAGTGACACAAGAGACACACGGCTTAAATACACAAGGGAGGTGCAGGTGATTGGACACAGGTGGAAACTACTAGACAATCACAGGGGATGACAGGACAAGGCAGGAAGTGAAGTTACCCGGGGACACGAGTGGCAGAAAACTACAAAATAAGACAGGAAGTGAACCACACCGTGACATTTTGTTTTACACAAGCATTAGTACTCCCCAACTCCTGCGGACTAAACTTCAATGTGATGGTTGGAGTTCCATTTTGACTGTGAAAGAATGGCCGATAAAGGGATGTCAACACACGGATGGACTGAAAAACGCACCAACACAACTGAGCGCCTAGCGTTGTCAATTGTTGAATTCTTTGGAACATTGTAATACCACAAAGCCAAAAGTTGGATTAAAAAGAGTTGTATTGCAACATTTTATCGTACATTGCATACATTGCTATCCAAGGC